ACACACACACACACACACACACACATATACCATGTAATACCATGTAATAAAAACAGGGCGTCATTAATTATTTGTTGTGGAATTTTCGTACATTAGTTTGTCTGGTGCCGTTTTTACCATTATTATATTTATTTGTTTTACGAATTTTTGCACACTCTCCACCTCTATTGAGTGGTGCAGGGTTGACGTATTTTGTAGGCCGACCCCAGAAATAAACTGTGCATGGGTTCCCTCGACAACAAAGCAATGGGATTTCTCCATAGGATTTTGGAAGATAGCTCGAAATAAGGTCTGTGGAAAACAAACCTGTTTGATAAATGCACGTTTTGTTCAGCCGGATAATCTCCACATGTCTACCCTACTTTTATTATTTTCGAATCATAAATCTAGTCGCCAGAAGCAAAATGCTAACCTTATGCTATAAAGGAACTACAGCCGAGTCCAGCAGCACGACTTCAACGTCACGCCTCGTCTCGATATTCAAAAATACAGATTCTAAATGGTACGAGTTGAAGCGTTTGTTTGAACAGTCTGCAGGAGGCAGGGACTTGCTTTCAAGCAGAACAGGGCAAACAAACTTAGAGGAGTGTTTACGTGTTCGGCGTAATGACGTACAATGGCCTCGACAACTTCTGTAGTCCTATTCAGCCACTTGGTAACAACCATCGTTTTTCAGACACGTCAACTCTTCAGAAATCACCAGTGGGGTCACTGCTGATGGGTTTAATGTCGTAGAACAAAACGTGATCCGTCTCTTCAATGTGTCTCAACCACAGACCTTAATTCCAGATATTTTCCTTAAACCTATGGAGAGATCCCATTGGCTCTGAGACCAGGGAACAGGAAGTGGTAAAATGCTGACTCACTTCCGGGTTTTAGGACTCGTCACTGCACCACTCTATTTGCTTGTATTTTAAGCATACTTCATTTAAAGATGAATTTGATTGATAGCATTTGATTTATTTACAGATATTGTGATAATGTTGTTAATAACCTGGGCTTACTTTAATAACTTAAATTAACTTTTTCTCAAGATTCAAAGGCTTTATTTTGTAGTTTTATTTAGTTTAATTTAGTCTAGTCAACAATAAGAAAAATATACGAATATTGTAAGAGACAGAAATGTATATAAAATTGTGCATTCTTCCTCCTCTCCCGTCCTCAGAACGTTCACAGTTTGGAGCGGACCGGCGCCATGTCCTCGGCCTCCTGGGTGAACTCGGCGACGGCGGGGCCCCCCCCCCACCCGGGGATGATCGCCCCCTCTGGACGCCGAGGGAAGCTCATCTACACCCCGATGCTCCGGATGGACCAGGCCTCCGGACGCAGCCAGCCGATGTGGAGCGACGGCAGCGCCAGCCTCCCCGCCGCCTCCCGGGCCGCCGCGGGCTGGTACCCCGGTCAGACCCGGACCCTCGGTAGCGTCAGGATGCCCCCCGTCAGCCACAGCTACCTGGAGAAAGGGAGCGCAGACAGCCTGGTGGAGTCGGTGAGTAAAGTGGAAAATTGTTGATGAAATCCAAAGCAATATGTATATGCAATATCAATATGAACAACATATTAACTATTTCAAAATACTTGGGTTGGATGGGTTCAGAGTTTTTCTAGTTTATCTTTAAAAAGGACATTTGTATTAAAATGGCTGTAACTCTCATTTTTGTAATGCTGATCAAATTTTCCGCTTGTTTTTCTGTGAAATATATAATTATTTTTAAAGCAATAATTCTGGAAAAACAAAGAGGCTGCTAGACTTTTGATAACAAATTATGTATAAAATGTAATGTTTGAATTTAGTAATAGATTCATATACTAATACTTATAACATTGGAATTAGCTCAATAATTACTTAACAAAACTAATTATTTTAGAAAGTAATAATAATACTTTCTCATTCTCCTCAGTCTGTAATTGCATATTATCATAAAAATAAATAAAGGGAACATTTTTCATTTTAATTTGAGTGACTAACGCCATAGACCTGCTTATGTTTGCATGATACAGATAATTATAACCTAATCCCTGCCTGACCCCGTCCTTGCTCTCTCTATCTCACATCAGATCCTGATCTCCGAGGGTCTCGGAGTCTACGCCCGGGACCCGAAGTTCGTGAACTTTGCGAAGCGTGAGATCGCGGAGGCGTGTCACCTGAGTCTGGACGACATGGAGAGCGCGGCGTCCGACCTCATCGCCCGCGGAGCCAGCCAGTCCATCTCTCGCTTCGAGGACGAGCTGGCCGACGAGATGAACTGCGTGATCTCTTACTGAGGTCCGTAAAAAAACTGCATTAACAGTGAGAGGAAGTAAGGAGAGAGGATTGTGAAGGGAGGAAGTGTTATTTAAACCTGCTGTGGAAAGAGAGAGAGAAACGTGTGTGATTTTCTTTTTGTCTGAAGTTCAAATGTTGTGTTTTTTTTGTAAATGCCAAAACACACACTAACACACACCCTGATTTTAAGAGCAGTATGTGGCAGGACTGCGTTGTTTTGCTGCAGAAAACTGGACTTCTTTTTTGCATTGTGTTCTCATTTTATACTGTACATGAACTGTTGTCCCTTTATACTCCTGTACAAACTGTAAAAATAGAAAATATGACATCAATAAAATGTTTATAATTTATTAAACGAATAACGATACGCGAGTGCCCAACAGCATTCGCTATTTTAGAGAAGTATTTAAATATATAAAACATATTGAATATCCTCTTTTAAGAAACATGAAAACTAATAGAAGCATTTTTGATTTTTGTGACTTTAAATAAAGCATCATGTTTTCTCAAATGTGTGTTTCATTTATTATTAATTATTGTAAAATGCCACTTAAAAAGTTTGTTATTCGCCTCCAAAATATTGAAGTAGAAGTGGATGTAGCATTAAATACTTTTTTATTATTATGTATTTAATTTACCTTAATTTAAAGGTCCGATCTCATGCTTTTCCGGTTATTACCCGTCCCCTTGTGTGCTATTAAGGTTTTTCTGCATGTAAACGGTCTGCAGTCACAAACCCTCAAAGTACACCCTATAGCGCAGGGGTGGGGAACCTGCGGCCGCGGCCGTGAGACCATTTGGTACGGCCCTCGAGTTAATTTATAAACACACGCAAAAAAGAAAAAAATTAAAGAAATCTAGACCGCAAAAAAATTAAACAAGCGAGTACCTGTTTTTCCTGGCCAAGGTCAGGGTCCTTGAACACAACACGAGCCTAACGTGTCAACACGTGGTATATGTCTCGTCGGACAGGGGTGTATTTCTGACTGAGAGCAACATAACGCCGCTCCGGCACTTCCAAAAATGTCAGTACCCATAAGGAGCTGTACACATGCCGCAGTTTTTGCGTGGCTGTGTCTTTAGTTGAAAGCCCAGTGGCGATCTGTTCATCTGTCATACTGATCATACAGTCAATAACTTAGTTGTTATTAGCATCTGGTTAGCTAGCTATGCTAACGAATATAAGAAGCTTTTTCTACAACCAGTGAGGTAAAGGCACATCTTTATATGATCATTATAGTTATAAAAAAATAAGAGAATAAAGTAAACAGGTATACAATACTATGACAGTAAAAAACGTGTTATTAATAAACAAGAATACAGTTTGAAAGGGGAGCGATTTGTAAAAT